CCGTCCCGTTGCCCTTGCTTTCTCTCAAAGCTTCGGACAACTTGTTGCTGTTACGAGCAACCGTCTGGCGGCGTGCGAAATTCTTCGACGCCCCAGAGTCAATCAAGATTTTAAAGGGATGATCGTATCCCCGTACACATCCGTGTACTACGAGCAGCCCGCCGCTGCTCTTCGCCGATTCGAGAGTGCGAAGACTCTCAGGGGCTAAGTCCCCGTGGTACGCGCCACCCGCGCACCCATCACGAAGACTTAGTTCTTCCCCAGTAGGGCGCCCCGCCCCTACTGGTTCCCTGCGTTCCCCTGTCCCCGGGATCCTGGCTTCTGCCAGCGACCCTTGAGGACGGGCTTGGGGAAGGACCGTCTGCGGAGTCTTGCCCGCGGGACAGTCGCGCTTGAAGTGGCCCATCTTCCCACAGCCGAAGCAGCGGATGTCACGCTGTTTCGGCGGACTCGAGCTCCATGGGAACTGGTCCGTTGGGGCTTGTTCGACCGGGAGCCAACAAGGAACTCCCAGGCCACGCTGAGGCCGGCGTACGCGCCTGGCGATGGCTGTACTCTTCTTGAAGAGCCACTTTGAATCGCCTTATCAAGGGTGCTTGCCTGCACCCCGGAACAGCTGAGTGCGTGCGGGTCCCACTCGAAAGGCCGTCCATGAACACAGTCATCTTGATGTGTTCATTGAGTGGGTTTTCCACTAGGGACGCCGTGAGCTCCCGTATCTCTTGCACATACTCGTGCAGTTCGCGCCTTCCTTGTTTACACGCGAGGAAGCGCGAACGCTGGCGGTACTCGTAGTTCGCCGGGAGGAACGCGGCTCGGAGCTGTTCGCACAGCTGAGCCCAGGATGTGAAACATCCTGGGGATGTTGCTTCCCGTGTGTACACCCAACTCTTAGCACGACCGCTAAGGTTGGAGAGTGCAAAAGCAACACGCAGTTGCTCGGTCGAGATCAGAGCCGCGTCCATCGCGAGCTCTACTTCTCGGACCCAGAAGTGAAGGTTCTCGCCTTCCTTCCCTTCATACGGCTTAACCTTCAGCCGTATTGGCTTCGGGTGAGGCGGATTTGCTTCCGCCGCCGGAGCCTGCAGGTTCTCCCGCACATGCGCGATGAGGCCCTGCTCGTACGCGTCATATGCATTGACGCGCCCGAGCTGCTCAGCCGGTGTTGACGCCACCAGGCTCTGCAGGGCCTCCATCCCGAAGATGCCTGCCATCTTCCGAACCGACTCGAACTGAGAGTCGTTCAAATGGGAGAAGTTGTTCCTATCCATGGCAACGAACTTCGGAGAGGTTCAGGTAGTCTACCCGCAGTGGCGTGGATTGACTACTAGTGCTACCAAGTGTGACGGGGTCACACAGCACCTTGCGCTAGAGGAAGTTATCTTCCGAGAGTATACAAACTCTCAGTGAGCGGCAGCTCACAGGCCCCCTCTTTAATTAAAGAGAGCGAAATGACCTAAATAAGGTAGATTGTAAACTGAGTATATTTATAGGTAGGTTCTACGGACGGTCTTAGCCGAAGGAAACGAGCGAAGCGCGAGAAAGAAGGCAATCGCTTTAAGTGGCCCAGTCAGCTCGCCGAGGTTGTGTTCAAGACGCCATCTCCTCCAGTTATTTACTTCGGTGTGTCGACGCGAGCCATGGAACGTGATGATCTAGACAAATTGTTACAAAACATCGACGCTGCTGTCAGTGCCCTAGAGCAAAAAGTACGCATCATTTTCCAGACTCGCGAGATTGGTGACAAGACGCGAGCGCCCTACCAGTCTGCGAATGTCCTCCAGATTCGCAGCGATCTAGAGTACGCACGCCTTTTCAAAGGAAAAAATGTGGCTGCAGCGATCCACTGGGGAGAGCCCGACGTTACTGCAGAAGCTCTCTCGGCTGGCAAGCCTGTAGGTATTTGCGGCACACATACACTGCATCATTTCATGGCGTGCGTGTGTGAGCAAGCTCAAGTGGGTCTCCCATTGATCGACTGGAAGACTTGCACGGTCAAGTCTCTGGCCTCGAACTTTCGGGATCTGTTGAAGCCTGAGCTCCAAGAGAGAGCAGAGAGACTTTCCGCCACTTTCGATCGAGAAAAGCCAGTGAACGCCGCAGTAAAACCTTTTACGCCAACTTACCACGTTCGGCCATATCAGCGGCGATCGGCTCGGCTGCTGCAGCGTAATCTCTCACGTTATTTCCGTTGGGGGGGGGCGTGGCCGGCACGGGAAGGACGGCCTGCTGCGGTAGGAGCGGTGTCGACTGTAGCTCGCTTGCGCTTTTGGGCATGATGGTTGGCAAGCGGCTCTTTGTCGTTACTGCTATCTCGATGTAGCACCTGCATCGCGAAGGGGCGATGCACGCGGTTACCATACTTGGGGTGGTATGAGCAAGGGCATGTCTGGGTACGCAAATGGACTGCCACCCTGACTTGGGCTGGTCTTCGGCTTCCTTGCGTGTAGTGTTGACACCAACCTAAGCAGAGACTTTGAGTGCTTCTTGCAAGAAAATTGTGACAGGGTTATAGACTTTCTGTGATGCAGTGTACAGGACGTGAAGCACATCTGTACACGAATCCACCATGAGGAAGTCGAGGCTCATCCGTGGCGCTACGTACTCTTGTAGGACCTACTGGCTCTGAAGGGCCTTCACACGAGCAAGCCGCTCTTTTGACGCTGGTGTGAGCGCGAACGGACGGACATCTTTGGCGCGCTGGCGGCAGCCAGCAGCAAGTTGCTGTAGCAGCTCGCCCATTTTCAGTAGACGATGTGCTGTGCAATCGAGGTTTAAGGCCCGGTTGAATTGCTCAACCCGATTCTAGGTGGTGGCAAACGTGGTAGGTGTACTCTATCATTGCCAGTGGCAAAATCGATCATTTAACCAGACTCGTTTGAGATACCCGTGGGGCGCCTGTAGCGTTGAATTTTGGAGCCAGCGGGTCTCTGAAGCTTTGGGCTCAGTGGCAAAGTCGTCAGCGCTTCTGCTGTAGTGCAGATGAAAGATATCACGAAAGACCGAGCGTAGCTCGTATGCCAGACCCTTAAGCTGATCGATCACCTTGGTCGAAACACATGAGATGGACATACTTGCAATTACTCCCAAAACCTGCGGCGGCGGCATTGTACTGAGCCGCGTAAGCGCCTCCCATTAGGCAGGAAACGCGCAGCGGCACCCTCAATACGTTGCTGTAGATCCAGGGCAGGGCAGAAAAGACCTTAGCATAGTGCCCTTCTTGCAACTGGGAGGTGGCAAACAATGTCAACAGGTGAAATGTTCTTGCGGCATCGGTAATGCCGATAACCAAGACAGGATATCCAACCTGGTTGGTCTTTTTGGTAGCACTCACATGGCAAATAAAGGTCGCGAGGCCTTGAGAAGCTTGATAAAGCAGCGCCTTCGTCGAAAAACCCACAAGGAATGGCTTTTCGTCGGACACATAGCTGACAACGAAGTTGCCTTCACTATTTAAGTCCTAGTCAAATGTAACGGCTCGTGCTCTTTATCCGAGCCATTAAGGCTAGCTTCTGAACAGCCGCTACGATGGTTGAAGTTGTGGCACTACCCCCGATCTTGGAACGGCGATAATAGCACACGACATTTTGCACTTTTTTGTAACGCTGGAGGCTTGCTTGGTCGTAATCCGAGCTACAACAGCATCGTCTTGCGTATACGAGCCGACTGCATACCGACCTAAGTCATTTGCTTGTCAAAATACTTTTGAGCAGCGTTGGGGGAGCGACTGTGTAGCGGTATCGCTCTAGCCACATGCTCGCCACTCTCAAATAGTGACACGACCTTGCGGTAGAAACAGACTTAAAATGTTTGCTCTCCACGGACACCTGGCGTAGGGGGCGGATTGTTTCCACTGAGTGCAGCGGCCGCTAAGAATCTAGTTGCGGCTCAAGTGCGGTGCTGGAACGACACTTGAAAATATAACCGGCCTCCAATGAACGAGTGTGAAATAACGTAAGGCACTGACGAACAGCGTTAGAACGCTATGATTTGGAACCGCCTCGGATTGCCGACAACGGCTTTTCGCCCAGATGTGGTGCTGCAACAGTCTGCAGACG